AAAAAGAAAAAGAGAGGGAAAAAAATATAATTTGTAGCCTTATTTTAATACCTTCACAAGAGTATAAAGCTGGATTGCAAAATATGTTCATGCTGAATCGTTTCAATTAGATAAGAAATATAAACGACTCACCTTTACACAACAGCAAGATCTCATCTCCAACTTTAAAATCTAGTTTAGTGGAAATGATGCTCATTTTAGCATCTGGAGGAGAAGACAGGAGAGGAGATTGGTTTTAGTCTGGGATGTTTTTCCTCTCTTTGGAAGAAGAGGAACACAGAGCAACATCTCATCCAAAACAAACACAGTAACAATGTTGTTCCTAAATCACCTATCAGGACTTTTTAGTTCATTGTTAAACATTTAACAGACAGCAGTTGAATGACATGCACAACACATCTCTCCCCAGTGAATCCAGTTTAAACACTCCAACGCTCTGTGGATTTGTCTCTCAATAAAGTATAGTTTTCTTGAATAATTTCATCCTTACGCTTCACAGTTTTCATAGACCACAGTCTCATTTTTCCCACTCTGACAACTCTGTATTTCCACTTCAACATCATTAAAAACATCAGCAGATCTTACCTGTGCTGTCCATCAGCTGCAGGAGCAGCAAGGCCAATGTCAGGATGCGAGTTGGTTGGTTCATCTTGCTCACCTGTCTGCAGGTTACCGATCTTTCAAACGACAACTGTGCTGTCAGCAAATCAAATAAAATTCAGAAAAATCAGCTAGTCAAAAAATAAATCTGTCTGAGTATGAAACTGACAGGCAAACACCTGTATCCTATCCACCGAGCACCACTCTGAGAGAAACAGGGTCTATGTCAGTGGTTATATAGGGGCACAAGGGCAAAAGAGATGAGAGGAAATGAGGAGGAGGAGGCGGGGAACAGGGGGAGCACGACTTCTGGTCTCTCATCCCTCCTAAAACTCCAGCAGAGTCACTTTGGGTCATTCAGGAAGAAAACTGGGATGTGGTGAGTGAATGACGTCATTGCTCCTCTCATCTTTTCCTTAATCTCTCTCTTTTTGTTTTGCTCAAAATGGTCCCCCACGTTCTATTATCTTTATCTCTTTTGTTCGTTTTTTTTCACCGCATTCTGCTTTGCTCACCTCAGCCAGTTCAATTCAATTCGGCACGCTCTATCAGCGCATAGGTCACGTGAGAAGTTGAAAATGTGTGACACAGAAAAGCTCAATTTAACAGGTAATCCATGAATGTGCATCAAGAATGGGAAAAATTGCAATTATAGTAGATTTTCTTGTTTATATGTTTGTAAGTTCATTTCATGTGACTGCCTACACTGTAAGAAAAAGTCCTAATATAAAAGTATTTTACTGTGTATTTTACAGTTTTGTTCTGTTCTTCTAGAATATCATTAAATTTACATAAATAAACTGTGAGTTCACATTTCAAATGTAAATTAATGTAAAATCAAATTTGTACTTAAAGACCAGCAAAAAGTCACAGTTAAGGCTTTAGTGTTTAATTTGAAGCTTATTCTTTTATTATTATTTTTCGTCCACA